CTCCTCCTCCTCCTCCTCCTCCTCCTCCTCCTCCTCCGTCTCGGGATCGTGCGCCCAGCCCGCCGTGGGCATCGGCTGAGCTCGGCAACCTGCGGGGCTGGCGGCGAGGGGTGACGAGCCGCTCGGGGAGCAGGGCCGCGCTCAATTCGCCCGCGGCGCGGATGCCCTCCGATGCCAGCGCGCTCCACGCGGTTCCCGTCGCAGCTCGCGCGGCCCACGTCGGAGGGGGCTCGTCCCGCTGCGCTCTGCCTGCTGCTCCTGGCCCGGGTCCAGACGGGCATAGACAGCGTCGGCAGCATCGCGGACCTCTGGCGCTCGCCGCTGTTGGCGGTCAAACGGGCACCCCTCGTCGGGCCGTTCACCCTGCCGCCCCTCATCCAGTGGGGATGACCATGCTGGCCACTGGGATTTCCAAGGAGGCGTAGGTCTTCCAGTTGGGGCACATTGGGCCGCGGGCCCCGCCCGCCACGGCGGAGCGCGGGGCCTGCTGCCAGAGCCCAGGATCCTGGTCATCGAGGTTCGGGCCGAGGACTTCTGCTTGGCTCACTCGATCTTACAGGACCCCAAGCGCTGCAGCACGTGACCCTTCCACACACTGCGGCGTCGCCCGCTCAGCTCTGCGACCGTACCGTGGCTCTTGCGCCTGTCGCCTTCCGTAACCCTTCTGACTCAGGCCTCCCTGGCCCCGGCCATTCCCCCCCCGAGACAGGGCCCAAGCCCGAGCCCGAGCCGGAGCCCGACACCGAGCCCCACAGTGAGCCCGAGCCCGAGCCCGAGGCCGACCTCGAGCCCGAGATAGAAACCTCGGGCCACGCTGGTCAAAAGCAGCCCGCGCTGCTGCCCCGCCGCGCTGCCCCCCCCACGCAGCGGGGCCTCGGCGCAGCGCCGCCGCCATGGCTTCGCAGCCGGGCCGCGGCGGCGGCCGTGGCCGTGGCCGCGGCCGCGGCGGGCGCCGCGGCTCCGCCGATGCCGCCGCCGCTGCGTCGGCGGCGCCCGCGGCGGCGCCAGCGCCCGCGGCGGCGCTGGTCTGCGGGCAGCGCCGCGGTCGGGCGGCCGTTCTGGGGGTCCACGTCCGAGTGTGATCCGTAGGTCGGCCCTTGCAAATCGAGGGTTCCCTTGTGCCCTCTGTTTCGGGACCCATGTCCTCTACATTCGTGGCCCTCGGGAGGGGTCTTGTGTCCTCTCGCGTGTCCTCTCCAGTCAGACTCGACCGTAGGGGTGGATGGTCGTTCTGGGGGCCTTCCTCAGGGACCCATCCGACGGACCTGTTCGCCTCTGGCTCGACTCCGAGTCGGCTCTAGCTCCAGCGACCCTCCCTGGCAGCAGCACCCAGCACTAACCGCATGCCGATGAGAATGAAGTACCCCCCCCCTTAAGTCGTTAGAGCATGTACTGAAGGATGTCTCAAGCGAAACGATACGTTTCTTAAGCGAAATAAGCAATAGTTTGACGGTGTCTCAAGCGAAATAAGCAATAGTTTGTGGATGTCTCAAGCGAAACAAGGGATTTGTCGAGGATGTCTCCAGCGAGATAAGCCATTGTTGAGGATATTTCTATGAAGACTAAACGCCAAGGATGTCTCAAAACGTGCTCGGCTTGGTCTCCTCTTGATCATCTCTTACTTCGAGTTTATGCTGAGGTCTGGTGGGCTACTTTGATTATCTCCCCCTGAACCCCGAACTTTATTATCCCCTAGTGTTTATTCTCGAAGGTATTCGGTTACCGAGGTCACCGCTCCAGGAGCGCATGGGAGCGGCGACACCTTGCACGCCAGGCAGAGTCCACCACAGTCGGACCGAGGTCTAGGATCGAGGTCGGTTCGGGGAGGGTGCCCTAGTGTTCGTTCGTGTTTGTTGGATGTTCCTGTGCATCCTGGAGAGGGTACCCTTAGATGTTTTGTTCGTGTTGGCCGGTGGAGGGTCTCCTGTTCTTGAGGTGGGTGTTTTTTTGTTTCTGACCTTGGTCCGACTGCAGTGCAGGGTCTCGTGGAGTCCATGCAAGGCCTCACACTGCTGGACCCCCAGTGTCGCAGGCGAGAGGCCCAGTTGGACGCCTGGGAGGAGGAGGAGGAGGAGGAGGAGGAGGAGGAGGACCTCCCAATTCTGCAGGGGTGGTCCTCTCCGCCTGTGCCTGCAGGGTTGGTCCTCTCCGTGTGCCCGCCGTTCCCCTGGTCATGGAGGAGGCGGGGGATGTTTTGGGGGGATGTTCTAGGGGGGGGGGAAGCGGGGATGGTTTAGTGGGGGAATATCTTATTTGGGGGGGATGTTTCAGGGTCAGAGAGGAGGAGGGGGGGTGTTTTAGGGGGGGGGAGGCGCTGGCGTCCCAGGCAGTCGACGCCGTGATGTCTCGCAGCGTGGCTGCCCAGAGGTCTGGAGCCCTCCCCGAGGGCTGGCTCTTCGCCCGGGGCTGTTCTTTGACGGCCCCATTGGTCGAAGATTGTTGACGCTTCGGCCCCCGGGCTCGCGTATCCCCACCACGCCCTCCCCCTCGGCTGCCTCCTGGTCCCGGCCTGAGTTGCGGCGGTAGGCCTGTTTGTGCTAGGTAATTTAGGCCCCCACGCGGCCCGCTCGGACCCTGACTCGCCGCTGTGCGCTCTCGCCTGCGGCTGGTAACAAAAAAGTATCCCCACCAGTTCCTCTCCCCGCTTTCTCCCTCTTTTCTTTCTTGTCCCTTCTCGGTGCGCGTAATTCAGGCCGCCGCTTGCTCGTTGCGCCCTTGACGTCGCCCGACTTCTCTCGACGCGGTCGCGATCAAGAAAGTATCCCCACCAGCCCATCCAGAAACGATGCCCAGGGGAGTTGGGGTGATCAGGGAGGTGGGGGGCATGCAGAAGAACAATGGGCGGGGTAGCCGTCATATACCCCAAGAGGGGGAGGATGGAGGAGGAATGGTCGTCGTCGTCGTCGGAGGAGGAGGAGGAGGAGGAGGAAGAAGAATAAGAAGAGGAGGAGGAGGTGGAGGAGGAGGAGTAGGGCGAGGACGAGGAGGACGAGGAGGCGGAGAAGGAGGAGAAGGAGGGAGAGTTGTGTACCTCGGGGATCCTCTTGAGGCCTCGTAGGGGGTCTCTTGGAGGCCTCTTGGGCGCCCGATTGGGGCTGTCTGGGCGCCTCGTGGAGCACCGGAAAATCGCCTCCCGGATCCCCCTCTTGGAGCGCTCCTGGGGCGCCGTGGGGCGCTCCTGGGGGCCGCCTTGGGGCTCTATAGTGGGGCTCTCTTAGAAAATACCACAGTGCGACCCTACCTAGAAGTTGGAGCCCCTAGGAAAGCAGCATTAGTTGCTATGCTGTGCTGTGCTATGCCAAGCTATGCTGCGCTGTGCTATGCTATGCTGTGCTATGTTATGCTATGCTGCGCTATGCTATGCTAAGCCATGCTATGTCATGCTGCGCTGTGCTATGCTAAGCAATGATATACTATGCTATGCCATGCCATGCTAAGCTGCGCTATTATATGATCTGCTATGTTATGCTATGCTATGCTATGCTTTGCTTTGCTGCGCGGTGTTGTGCTGTGCTGCGCTATGCTATGATATGCTATGCTATGCTATGCTGCGCTATGTTATGCTATGCTGTGCTGCGCTATGCTGTGCTACGCTCTGCTATGCTGTGCTCTGCTACGCTAAAGCTCGGCGAAGCTAAGATGAAGGTAAGCTAAGCTAAGATAAACCTGAGCTAAGATGAACTAAGCTAAGCTAAGATGAAATAAGCTAAGCTAAGATGAAATAAGCAACGCTAAGCTAAGGGGACGTCACTGGGGGAACCACGGGGCGGATGCCGGGGGAACCGCCCGGGGCGGTTTACACTGCCCGGCCCCTGTAAGCTTATAAAGTAAGAACCCTTCTAGGCAGAGCCTAGGTAGGGAAAAAAACAAATCTATATTGGAGCCCTCCTGGGCCCTCCTGGAGCCATCTTGAGGCCCCGGATGGCCATCGGAAGCGAGACGGCGAGACGGCAACAGTCCCGGATGTTCCTCCGGTGTTCGACCGATTGGGGCTTCTCGGGGGGCTCCTCGGAGGTCTCGGGCGCCTCTTGGGAGCCGTCTCGGAACGCTCTTGGGGCCTCTTGGAGCATCTTGGGAGCCATTTCGAGGCACCGTGCGCTATCTTGAGCCATCCTGGAGCTCATCTTGGACTCGCAGGGGCCCTCTTGGAGCCGTCTTGGGCCATCATGGACGCTTCAACGCCTCGCGGACTCCCCCCGTCCAGGTCCAGGGGAGGGGGTGCGGGAGGGGTGAGCCCCTCCCCGAAGAGGAAGCAGGGGGCTGGAAGAGGCAACACTATAGACCACCTACGCCCAGAGGTCTGGTGGGATGGCAGAACACAAAGCGCAGTGCTGAATTACTTCACGACGCAAGGATGTCAGCGGTAGGTGGCAGCCGCGCGTATAGATGTGTACATCAAGGCACGCGCGCCTTCGCCCGAGGCATCGTGCACACACTTTGTTGCGCGTTGCGCGCTCGCGGGCCCACCCCGAAGCATGCCCACTGCACTCGGCGAGCCGGCGGTGGTGAGCACGGTTTCGAGGTCGTGCTCTCTCGTCCCCGATGGAGGGGATCGCGTGGCCGAAGCAGGGGCCCCCTGCCCCCCTGGGGGCTGGCCGCCCGACCGCGGCGGCAGCGGGTCGAGCTGCGCGGCCTCCAGGGGCTCGCCGCCGAGCACAACGGCTCACACGGCATGCTGGTGTCCTTCGACGCCGAGGTCGGGCGCTGGGCGGTGCAGCTGGACAAGGGGGGCCTCACCCACGTGTGGGCGGCGAACGTGTCCACGCCGCAGGCGGCAGCCCCGGCGCAGCCTGCCGCGGCGGCCGCCCTCGCCCCGGCGCAGCCCCCCGAGGCCGCGGCCGCCCCGCGCAGGAGGCCCCGCGCGGAGCCCAGCGCGGCGGCCGCCGGGGGCGGCGCGCGCAGCACCGGGGGCGCGCAGCCCGGGCCGGCGCCGAAGAGGGCCAAGAAGAGGGTGCTGGCAGCGAGTCGCTGGGACCTTCCACTTCTACGTCGGCTCCGGCGAGGGCGCCGGCAGGGTGCAGACCACGATGGCGGCGGCGGGCGGCTCCCGGCGGAGGCCCGGCGCATCGCGGAGCAGGTCGCCGCGCGGGCGGACGAGCAGGGCTGGGCGAAGGCGCAGGCCCTGCAGTACCGCGACCAGCTCTACGCGCAGCTCGCCGCGCAGCTCGCCGCGGCCGCCCCGGCGCCGCACCCGGGCCCGGCTCCGCCCGCGGCGCCCGCTGCGGGCGGGCCCCCCGTGCCGCTGGGCGGCGCCGGCGCGCCGCCCCCCGCCGAGGCCGAGGCCGCAGGCCCGCAGCTTGCCGAGGCGCCCGCCCCGGGGCCCCGCAGGGCGCCCGCGCCGAGGGCCCGCGGGCGCGGCGGGCGATGGCGGCGCCCGCGGCCGCGGCCGCGGCGGCGCGGCCGCCGCGGGCGGCGGGCGCGGCGGCGGCGAGGGCGGGCAGGGCGAGGGCGCCGCCGAGGGTGCTGGCTACGTCTCGGACGAGTCCGCGAGCACCGCCGGCGAGGACGAGGGCGACGTGGCGTGGGCGCCCTGGAGGCCCGTCGGCGCGTTGCCCTGGCCCGACGTGTGGTCGGGGTACAACCCGCCCCGCCCGGGGCAGGAGGGCTTCGGGGCCTACGCCGCGAGCTGCATGTCCCGCGCGGGACTGGGCGGCCCCGGGAGCCCTCTGGCCGGCCTCGGCCTGGCCCTGCACCAGGACCGCCGTGAAGGAAACCCAGACATGCTCGCGTCTGGAAAACATCCAGACGAATGGTTTTTCATGGTTTTCGGCCTCTAAGGGCCCTCACCGGGCCCAGGGACTGTCAAGCACGACCCGGGATGAAAATTTGCCCAGGGGAAAGGGTCGGGACTTCTCGGGGCCGAGGAGCTCTGGGGCCGTCAACAAGAATACTGAGGACGAAGAGCTGGTCTTGTGGAATTCCCCAGGGTTCAGGACTGTTTTCCTCAGGACGGGTTTGATTCATGCCAACAGGAGTCGGCGGCGTTTCTGCTCCACCCCGCGAGCCCGACCCAGCGGCTGCTCGTGGATCACGCGGCGGGCACAGGGAAGGCGCGGATCATGGTCTTGGCGCTGGACAACTACTTCGACGACCCGAGGCCAAAGATTGCCATCTTTGCGACCGCCCAGGCGCGCGACCACTTCTTTGGCGAGCTGCTCCGGTGGCCCTCGCGCTGGCGCCACTACTTTGGCTGCTGCTGCCCCGATCAGGCGGCCACGGCAAGTGGCTCAAAGGACTGGTCGCGGCGGCGCTCCGAGGTGTGGGACCTGGGGCCGGAGCGCCTCTCGAGCGAGGCCCGGCGGCGGGGCGTGGCTCCGGAGAGGCTCTCGGCGGAGCTCCTGGGGGCGGTGCGGGAGGCCCTCGCCATGCGCGGGGCGGTGCGGCGGGGCCGGGTGAGCCCCGCCCTGGCCCAGGCCTTCCGCGAGGACCACCCCGGCGAGCCCGTGCCCCGCGCGCCGCTGCGGGCCTTCCTGCACGCCGAGGCCGGCGGGGAGGCCTCCCTGCTCGGCCCCGACGGCCGGCCCCGGAGCAGGGTGCTCCAGGTCGGCTTCGACGCCAGGGAGCTGAACCCCTACTCGGGGAAGGCGAGCGGCGGATCAAACCACGGGCTCCTCGTCCTCCTCCTGCCCTTTTCTCCTCCTCTTCCTCCTCCTCCTCCTCCTCATCCTCCTCCTCCTCCTCCTCCTCCTCCTCCTCCTCCTCGTCCTCGTCCTCGTCATTATCATCATCGTCATCATCATCATCATCATCATCATCATCAGCAGCAGCAGCATCACCAGCATCATTAGCATCGTTAGCATCATCAGCATCATCATCTTTACCACTCCTTGTCCTCCCCCTCTTCCTCCTCCTCCTCCTTCTCCTCCTCCTCCTCCTCTTTGTCAACCTCCTCCTCCTCCTCCTCCTCCTCCTCCTCCTCCTCCTGCTCCTCCTCATCCTCATTCTCTCCCTCCTCTTCCCCCTCCTCCTCCTCCTCATTCTCGTCGTCGTCCTCCTCATCCTCATCACTCCTCGTTCTCCTCCTCTACATCATCATAATCATCATCATAATCATCATCGTCATCATCACCATCATCAATCATCATAATCATCAGCATCAGCATCAGCATCATCATCATCATCATCATCATCATCATCATCATCATCATCATCATCATCATCATCATCATCATCATCATTAGCATCATCATCATCTTTACCACTCCTTGTCCTCCCCCTCTTCCTCCTCCTTCTCCTCCTCCTCCTCCTCTTTGTCAACCTCCTCCTCCTCATCCTCATCACTCCTCGTTATCCTCCTCCTCGTCATCATCATTATGTCATCATAATCACCATAAGCATCAGAATAATCATTATCATCATCATCATCATCATCATCATCGTCGTCATCATCATCATCATCATCATCATCATCATCATCATCATCATCATCATCATCATCGTCATCATCAGCAGCAGCAGCAGCATCACTCCTTGTCCTCCTCACCCTCCCCTTCCCCCTCCTCCTCCTCCTCCTCGTCCTCCTCCTCCTCCTTTTCATCCTCATCCTCATCACTCCTCGTCCCTTCCTCCTCTGCCTACTGGACCTCCAATCTCAATTCGTCCTCTCGACTGCGCCTGCATTCGCGCGTAAGCTGCCCGCGTTTCCAGCGCAACGTGCCGCGCTGGCGGCCCGCGCGAGCCACTGCTCCAGCTCGCTAGGCCATCTCGCGTGAGACCTGCTAGAATTTCTTCTCGCCGCCCAGGTTCAAGGGAGGGCAAACCACCCAGACCTGGCAGTGGACGCTTACTGCACGGCCCTGGGCGCTTACGGAACAGCCCTGCCCCGTTCGATTCTTCCCTAGGGTGCGTTTACTAAACGGCTTCGCTGGTCGGGGTGATTGCTTGGGGGGTGGAGTTTCTCCCCTCTGAAGGTGCTGCTGCTGCAGGCCGCCCAGTGCCTGGAGCACCCCGACGGCGCCTCCGCCGACCAGCTCCGGGCGCTGCGCGGCCACCTGTCGGCCGCGAGAGGCACGGCCCTGGCCGCCTTCAGTACCCTGCCGACCGGCAGGGCCCTGCTGGACCTCGTCAAGGGGCCGGAGGCGCCGAGCCTCGGCGACGAGGGCTTCGTCTCCTCCTTCTGACGGGCCGGTCTTCCGCCACCACTACCGTGTCTAGGAGAGGGAGGAGGAGGAGGAGGAGGAGGAGGAGGAGGAGGAGGAGGAGGAGGAGGAGGAGGAGGAGGAGGAGGAGGAGAGGAGGAGGGGGGGGAGGGGGGGGACCTCCCCCTCCTCCCTTCTTACCCGTCCTACTTATCGTAGTGGTGGTGGGCAATTGGCCCATCGCCTTCCGGCCCCGGGCCGGCCCGGGCTTCGCCCTGGAGCTGCCGGCGCCCAGCGGGGTCCTCGACGCCACGGACGGCCCAGGTCAGAGGAGGAGGAGGAGGAGGAGGAGGAGGTGGAGGAGGAGGAGGGGTGGAGGAGGCCCAGGTCAGAGGAGGAGGAGGAGGAGGAGGAGGAGGAGGTACCCATACGTCCACCTCTGCCCTTGCCTCGTGTTCCCCTTTTGGGGCCTCTTGGGAGGGCCTCGTCGCCACGGTTTTTGTTGGACTCGCCTCGAAGCGCCGGTTTGCTCAGCACGCGCCCCGGGAGATGGCTGGGGAGCAGCAGTGTCGGTACCTTTCGGCTTCCCCACCAGGCTCGGTCGTGCGGCGGCACACGCTGCGGGGGGAGATACTGAAGCGGTACCTCCTGAAGGAGGCGTCCGCGGAGCCCGGGGCCGTCTCCGGGGGGCAGCGCGACGCGCGGCTGCTGACCTACTGCAACGTCTTCGTGCACCCCAAGACCGTCACGGGCGACAGGCTGAAGCAGCTGCAGGCCGACCCGAAGTCGCACGCGCCGAAGCTGCAGGCCGTCGTGAAGGCTGTCTCGAAGGCCCCGCAGAAGGCGGCGGTTCTGCTCCGGCATGACACCGGCTCGAAGGTGCTGCTGGAGATGCTGCGGCAGGCCGGGAAGCGGAGCGGCTTCCGGGTGGCGAGCGCCGACGAGCTCCGGGAGTTCAACGACCCCCGCCGGAACCTGAGAGGCGAGCGCTACCGTGCCATCGTGCTCGAGGCGCCCTCTCGAGGCGCCACCACCGACGCGAGGCTGATGCACGTGCGGGAGCTCGTGGGCAAGAAGTGCCTCCGTGTCTGCGGCCTCGCGGGCCGGGCAACTGGGCCGTGACCCCGCGGATACAGGGGCGTTTTTTCGCGGCTGCCCCGCGCGGAACGTATATGTGCGACCACGTATCCGCGGGGTCGCGCCCCGGAGTGCAGACCGCGAGGGCGCGGATATGGATCCATATGTTCGCCGCTGGTGGGAACCAAGATTGCAACATCGTGGAAAACGCAACCGGAGCCCTGGGCCCCAACTGTCTGCGTCATCTTTCGAGCCACATCGACCTGCGAGGGTCAGGAGAGAGAGATGCAGTCAGGAGCAGTTCACGCGTTGTTCGATCGCGCCTCAACCAGCCAGCATCGATCTGTGACGGTCCCGGGGCCCGAAACCGGGCGAGAACGCCCGGCTCGAGAAAACCGAGACTCCGGGCCGCGAGGGCGCGGATATTTACACGGCCATGCTCAGCAGTCATGAGTCGATCGACTAGACGTAAGAGTGACCCTTCGCCGGAGTGACCTTTGGTGCGCGCTCACTGGGGTCCCTCGATCGCCGCGCTCGTTGCGATATTAGCGTCTTGCGCGCTTGTGTTTGGCCTCCTCGCGCCCCCCCCAAAAGCCGCGCACCAAAGGTCACTCTTACCCAGGGTCACTCTTGCGTGTAGTCGAGTCGAGCTGCACTGCGTCCCCGGAGGTTCTTGCAAGTCCCGACCCCTTCCCCGGGGCCGGCCGTGTCCATCCCGAGTGGCTTCTTGACGGTCCCCGGGGTCCAGCGAGGGCCACCGGAGGCCGAAGACGGCGAGCAACAAGCCTCCCGTGCAGATTTACTCACGACCTGATGTGTCGTGACGGATGCGAATCTGTCCGCCGTTTGTGAGGAGGAGGAGGAGGAGGAGCAGGAGGAGGAGGAGGAGGAAGAGGAGGAGGAGGGGGAGTAGCAGGAAGAGGTGAAAGAGAAGGGGGGAGGAAGTGGAGGAGTGGGAGGTGGAGGAGGGAGGAGGCGGAGGAGGCGGCGGTGGAGGTGGTGGAGGTGATTATGTTCGCGCTCGTGAGGAGCTGCACCTCGTCGACCTCCCGCCCGCGGAGGCCTGGCCCGAGCTCGCCTGGCACGCCTCGCGCTGCGCCTGCTTCGGCTGCCACGCGGAGCTGCCCGAGGAGGAGCGCACGCTCGCCGTGCACGTGCACGTCGCCCAGCTGCCCAAGCTCCTGCGCAGGGCGGTCGGGGCGCTGGTCTACAGGTCGAGGGAGGACACCCCAGATTTTGTTCGGGTAGTGAAAAAATCGTGGCGGGAGGTTTCTCCAAGCCTTCGGCCTCTGGGGGCCCTCGCCGGGCCTCGGGACCCTCAACAAGACGCTTACCAGGGCGAGGAACCGGTCCCGGGGAGGGGGTCCAGACCGCTGAGGGTCCACGCCATGACAAAAATCATGACGTCGGGGGTCTGGGCACCCAGACCCCCAACGTAATGATTTTTTCATTACGTCGACCCCCACAGGTCCCGACCCTTTCCCCAGGACCGGCTTCGCATTCTGAGTCGTTTTTTGACGCTCCCGAGGCCCAGTGAGGGTCCCCCGAGGCCGAAAATTGGGAAAAACCTCCCGTCGTGATTTTTTCATCACTCGAGGGGGTCTGGGGAGGAACACCGCAGAAGAGCCAAATGGCACAACCACAGAGCTTTGGGGGAGCTCTGCGGGGCTTTTTGAGGCCGGCGCCGTGCTCCCTGGCGGCGCTGCGGGCGCCCCCCCCCCAAGACATCGGGCGTCTCGAAAAAATCGAGACGGCAGTTTTTCCATCGCCAAACAAGGACCAGGAGGGAAAAAACACACAGACACAATTCATCGTCGATTCCCCGGAAAATATGGGAACATAGGGGAAAAGTGGGGGAGACAGAAACCAAGAAGATTTGGGGGAAACGATGGGAATCCTGATATGCGTGCCTATCTACTTGTGTGTCCCAGCGCCCCTTCAAAACAATGACCCGGCATGAAAAACCAGGCCCCAGGGAAGTGCAGTCAAAAACCCGAATAAGGACGCGCGACTTTGCTCAGGGTGCCCCTGCGTCCTTACTCTTCCTTGCTCTTGCGTCCTTGAGGTTTTCGTCGTCCGCCGCCCCCCAAAATCCCAACTTCGGCTTCCAAGGGTCTTGCGTCCTTACCGCGCGTCCTTGTTAGGGTTGTTGACTGTGGTCGACAGGTCGGGGGCCGTGCCCGGAAGAGAACACCGAGACGTTTCGGAGGCCTGGGCCTGGCGCGCTCCGCGCGCCTCGGGAGGGGCCCAGCGCCGATCCGAGCAGCCCGCGCGGACCTCCGAAATGTTTATGTTTACGCGTGTGCCGCTTTTTGGTACTTCGCCACCGGGTTCCTGCCGAAGGCGCCCCTCTGCAAGCACTTCGGCTGCGGCACCGCCTGTAAACCGAGGCTGTGCCTCCTCTCGGCCTCGCTCTGAGGCTCCGCCGCTTCCGCCCTCCTCTTCTCGGCCTAATTCAAGCTTCGCGCTGCCCGGTTTTTGTCGTTGCTTGTCCCACGCAGTCGTCCGAGGTACGGTATCACGTTGTCTCTCTCGGAGTTGTCCCTGGCCGTCGTTGACGTTCCGACGTGTGGCGCCTCCGACGGACTTGCAGCTGTGCGCGCCGGCAGTTCCCCTCAGTCTCAGTCCCGACAGCCACCCACCTGAGGCTTCGGCCGGCGCGTAGCTGTTGCCTCGCGCGTCGCCTCTGCTTTAATTTTCTCGCGCTCCCTTTGCCTAGTTAGTCTCTGCATAGCCCGCTTTGACCTGACACGCCGCCGGCGCGCTCGCCCGCGGCCGCTGACTAAAAAGTATGCCGTTTATTTTCCCTGCCCGAAAAGTTCCGATACCGCCACCTTTCCTTTTTTTTTCGCTTCTCTGGGCCTCCTGAGAGGCTCTCGTCGCCACCGCCAGATTCGCCTCGAGATGCTGGTCAGAACACGCCCCGGGAGAGGCCCAGGGAGTAGCGGTATCGGTGCCTATTGGCTTCCCCAGCAGGGGGTCGGGGGAAGGAGAAGGGACAACACCCTCACCAGGCAGCGAGGAGGTCCACGATGCCTCCCCGAGCTGGGGACGCAGTAGGGCCCGACCACAAGAAGCCTTCCACAAGAAACCCAACCCTGAACCCCCAGGACGTCCATCCATTTTTGGTGTGGGAGCGTCACGCATTCCATTCCCAGAGATCCGATGTCGTGATTTTTGTAAAAACGCGGTCCCCGGAAGTTTCGACCCATTCCCCGGGACCGTTTTTTTCATCCTGAGTCGTTTTTTGACGGTCCCGACGCCCGGCGAGGGCCCCTACGGGCCGAGATTTGCGGGAAGCCTCCGTTTTGATTTTTCAATGCGTTGGATCCCTGGGTTCTTGGCAGAACCATCGAAACCCACGAGGCCCAGGGCACCCTGGAGGCAAGCAGGGCGTGGTGTGTCTTGGCACGGGTCTCCGCTGGACGAGGGTGCCTCGCGCGAGAGGGGCGGTCCACACCGCCAGGGGGACCCCCCCCCCGTCGCGATCAGGATTCGGTACTATTTGACAGCATAAGCCTAACACGGTTCCAATCGGTGTGTGTGTGTATGTGTGTGTGTCGTCGTCGTCGCCGTCGTCTGTGTGTGCGCGTATGTGTGCGTGTGTGTGTGTGTGTGTGCGTGTGTGTGTGTGTGTGCGTGCGTGCGTGCGTGCGTGTGTGTGTGTGTGTGTGTGTGTGTCTGTGTGTCTGTGTGTCTGTGTGTCTGTCTGTCTGTCTGTCTGTTTGTCTGTCTATCTGTCTGTCTGTCTGTCTGTGTGTCTGTCTGTCTGTCTGTCTGTCTGTCTGTCTGTCTGTCTGTCTGTCTGTCTCTGTGTCTCTGTGTCTTTGTGTCTCTGTGTCTCTGTGTCTCTGTGTCTCTGTGTCTCTGTGTCTCTGTGTCTCTGTGTCTCTGTGTCTCTGTGTCTCTGCGTCTCTGTGTCTCTGCGTCTCTGCGTCTCTGCGTCTCTGCGTCTCTGCGTTTCTGCGTCTCTGTGTCTCTGTGTCTCTGTGTGTGTCTGTGTGTCTGTGTGTCTGTGTGTCTGTGTGTCTGTGTGTCTGTGTGTCTGTGTCTGTGTCTGTGTGTGTCTGTGTGTGTCTGTGTGTGTTTCTGTGTGTTCGTAAATGTGTTTGTGTATGTGTATGTGTATGTGGGCGTGCGTGCGTGCGTGTGCGTGTCGTCGTCGTCGTCGCCCCCTTTCCCTCTCCCTCCCCTCGCCTCTCCTCCCTCCTGCCGCTGCTGCTTCTCCCCCTTCTGCTCGACCGCCATGCTGGGACGGGGTACCCGAATCGTAGTCTCAGCCCCCCTATGTTTTGGCCGTCTTGGAAGCTTCTTGGGCCATTCTTGGCGGCCGGGGGGGGCTCCTGAGGCGATCTTGAATAGTTTCTGAAAACAACCATTAGATTTGTTGGTTGGATTTCGGACTGCCGGGGAGATCTTCGAAAGCATTTCTACCAGGATTCAACTCGTTAGATGTTCAACGTATTTTTCATATACCGTCAAAGAGGGGATCTCGAGATCCCCCCTTTGAGCGTTAATCAAATACGTGGTGTTTGTCGTAGTTTTTATCGCTTCTCGGAGGTCTCGTGAAGGGGGGGCCTGGGGCCTGTTTGAGGATATCCTGGAGCCTTTCTGGGGGGGGGGCTGAGGGCATCCGTGAGCCTCTTGGTCGCCTCATGTGTATGTGTATGTGGGCGTGCGTGCGTGTGCGTGTCGTCGTCGTCGTCCCTTTCCCTCTCCCTCCCCTCGCCTCTAGTCCCTCCTGCTGCTGCTGTTGCTTCTCCCCTCTCCCTCCCCCTGCTGATCGCTGCTCCTCCCCTTCTCCCTATCCCTGTTGCTCTCCTCCCTCTCTCCCTCCCCCTCCCCTTGCTGCTGCTGCTCCTCCCCCTCTCCCTCCCCCTCTGATGATGATGACGATGATGCTGAAGATGCTGCTGATGATGATGACGATGACGGCGCTGAACACGACGAGGTTGATGATGATGATGGTGGTGATGATGATGATGATGATGATGATGGTCATGAGGCCGATGATGATTCCGATGAGGATAATGATGGCGATGATGATGCAGATTACGATTACGATGACGATCGGTGATGATGATACTGATGAAGATGATGCTGCTGCCGATGATGATGGCCTCTTTGGGGGCTCGACGGCAGGCTCGACCGCCATGCTGGGACGGGGTACCCGAATCGTAGTCTCAGCCCCCCTATGTTTTGGCCGTTTTGGAAGCTTCTTGGGCCATTCGGGCTCCTGAGGTGATCTTGAATAGTTTCTGAAACAACCATTAGATTTGTTGATTGGATTTCGGACGGCCGGGGAGATCTTCGAAAGCATTTTTACCAGGCTTCAAATCGTTATATGTTCAACGTATTTTCATTTACCGTCAAAGGGGGGATCTCGAGATCCCCCCTTTGAGCGTTAATCAAATATGTAGTGTTTCTCCTAGTTTTTGGCGCTTCTCGGAGGTCTCGTGGGGGCTCCCTGGGAGCCTCTTTGAGGACCTCCTGGAGCCTTTCTGGAGGTTTTCTAGCGGGCCCGTGAGCCCCATCTCTTGGGGGCTTGGGAGCAGGCTCGGGCGCCATGCTGGGACGGGGGGGGGGGGGGGCCGGAATCGCATTCTGACTCCCCCTCACGTTTTGGCCGTTTTGGGAGCGACTTGAGGCTATCTTTTGGCGGCCGGGAGAAGCCTTTTGAGGCGATCTTGAAGACCCCATGGGGCCGCAAGAGGGAGCGAGAGGAGGATGGAAGAGGGGGAGAATGAGTAGGAGGAGGTGGAGGAGGGAGGCGAGGAGGAGGAGGAGGAGGAGGAGGAGGAGGGGGAGGCGAAGGAGGAGGAGGACGAGGAGGAGCAGGAGGCGGGAAGGAACGAAGGAAGGAAGGATGGAGGCCACATTATCCAAAACGAGAACCCAACACAGGAGGGCTGGGGAAAAACAATGACCATTCCATAGTTTGTTTGCTCAATCATTTTTCGGCCGCGCTCCTTTAATTCAGTTTTTCCACCGATGGCTTTCTCCATCATGAAGTTGCTCCCTCTGCGGCGCCGCGGGCGGTTCGATGCCGAGCCCTTGCGGCGCTTCTTGGTGTTTCTTCTCGCCGTTCGCTGCACCTTGGAGGTCGCGCCTGCGGCCGCCCAGCTGCCCCTAACCTGGGAGCTCTTCGGCCTGGACGAGCCGACCGACGAGACGGCCCCCGACTTCGGCGAGTTGACTTTCTTGGATTTCTTGAACAGGGTCCGCTACTGCTTGGCCCTGCCATCCGCGTGGATGAAGAAAAGCGGCTCTTTCTCGGAGCGCCACGAAGTGATGCGTCGTCCTCCTCGGACGGCCAACAGGCTGGAGCGGGCGGCGGCGCTGACCCTCCATTCGGACGACTTCACGCACAAGAAGCTCGCCAACCTTGCCAAGAGGAGGGTGGAGGTCTGCGCCGAGCTGAAGCGGGACGGCCGCCCCGCGTGAAAGGGCCGCTTTCAGAAAACAGTTGTTCTCGAGTCCACAGGGGAGCCGCCCGGGCATCCAGTGGCCTGCGGCGCAGCCCGCCTTTATTTTTGTTACCCCCGCCTTCTCCTTCTGACTTTGCTCCCGTTTCTCTCCCTTGGCCCTCAGCAGAGTTCGACGGCCCCCAGGGGCGCTGAGCCACGTCGATCTCCAGCTATGAGAGCTGAAGCTATATATGTGGTTCTACAGTTGGTTTAGCAGTCTGAGGCTGGAGCGTCTTCGTCGGCGAGGGGATCCGCTCGAGGCGAACAGTCTGCGCCGCCGTCTGAAGAGATCGTCGCGCCCCGAGGACACCGAGTGTTGGTGGCCCGCGGGGCCACGGCGCGCACCCTGCGCGGCTCCTATCCGGCGTCGTTCCAGGTTGCGAATTGCAATCTTGAGGAGGAACGCGAAGGAGGGCCCCTCTCAAGATAAGGCGGCCAGATATCGGCGGCGATACTACATCAAAGCTGCTGCAGTTGGGCGCCATCCAAAGTCGGGCAAACCTGTAAGGCGTGATTATTTTACAGATCAGGCCCGCGCTCTCACCCCTGGCAGCTGCGCGACAGGTCACCCGCTGGCCCCCCGCATTCCCTTCTCTTTTCCTCTAACTTTTGAACGGCGCCTCGGCAGATCCAACGGGGCCGTCGGTGGAGCCAGCGGATTTTCAGTCCGCTTCCGCAGTCTACGGCCGCACCAAGGAGGAGGTGATTGACTCGCTCCTCGGGCTGGACAAGGTCGGCTACTTCTTCGCGCAGCACGCGGTGGGCGCGCTGTCCGAAGGCTCCCAGACCCGCGCGCCCCAGGGGCGCGCGCTTCGGCGCGCGCTTGCTCGCCGCGGCCCGCCCGGGCTTCATGCCCGAGAAGATGCACGAGACGGACGCCGCGCAGCTCCTGGTGAAGGAGCGGCCGCTCCTGGAGAAGACGGCCGGCCCGCGCGGCGGAGGGGCGCCTCGCGGCGGCCCCGCCCCCGCTGGAGCGCCTGAGCTGCGGCAACAGGACCGCGGTCTCGGCGGGGTTGCCGGAAATCCTCGGGGGCGCGCTCTGCGAGCACCGGCAGCTCCTGCCCCCCCCCGCCTAGCTGCAGAGGTGCAGTTTTTTTTACGCGCTTAAGAAGATAACATGAGAAGGGGAGGAGATGGAGGAGGAGGAGGAGGAGGAGGAGGAGGAGGGGGAGGAGGGGGAGGGGGAGTGGTAGGACGGGGGGCCACATGGCAGAGGGGCAGGGGGCGAGGGAGGGGCGGGCCGGGGGGGCGAGAGTGGAAAAGGGGGGTCTGCAGCGGCGTCTCGGACCTATCGCCGGTTCGCCGCAGGAACGGCCGCGGCCACGCTGAGGGAACGGTTTCGGCCTTCCTCCTCCTTTTCCTTTATCCCTTCCCGATCTCAATGACAACGTTTTCCTCGCCTTTCCGCCTCCCCCCCTTCTCCCCGATAGAGCAGTCAGCGCGTTCTCCGCGGTTCCTCGCTTCGGCCCCCTCTCTCCCCCCCAGTGCCTTTTTCCCAGGCGCGTGCGTTTGTATTTTCGAGGCGCGCAATTTTCAAGGCTTGCCAGATGGCCAACCGGAATCAAGAGGGCACGTTTCGCAATAGAAAAACAGTCGCGGCAGTTCAAAGAGTTGGAACATGTAAGGCGTGGGCCAAAATCTGCGTGGAACACGGCTAGACGTCATGATTTTATGGGTCATTCGTTCCTCCAGGGGCTCTCGGGCGCGGCGTTGCGTCCGTGGTAGCGCAGGAGTAGGCGGGGGGCTACGCCGGCGACGCGCGCGAGTCGCGGCAATTCGAAGAGTCGGAACATGTACGCGTTGGGCCAGAATCGGTGTAGGACACGGTTAGACGTCCGAATTTTATGGATTATTCGCCCCACCGGTGATTCTCGGGGGCGGCGCTGCGGCCGCGGCAGCGAGGGAGTAGGCGGGGGCTGAGCCAACGGCGCGCGCGAATCGCGGCAGTTCGAAGAGTCGGAGCATGTAAGTTTAGAGCCAGGGTCGGCGTAGAATGCGGCTAGACGTACGAATGTTATGGATTGTTCGTCCCTCCGGGGGCTCCCGGGCGCGGCGCTGCGTCCGCGGTAGCAAAGCAGTAGGCGGGGGCTACGGCAGGGGCACGCGCGAGTCGCGGCAGTTCGAAGAGTCGGAACATGCGATGTTAGGGCCAGAGTCGGCGCAGAACACGGCTAGACGTACGAATTTTGTGGATTGCGCGTTCCTCCGGGGATTCTCGGGCGCGGCGTTGCGCCCGCAGTAGCGAAGCACCAAGCGGGTGCTACAACGTGTCACCAGTTTGCGTTCTCCGCGGCGCCCTCGTTTAAGCTGGCCGCGTTTGTTCTTCTTGCTGCCCCTTTTTTTCGGGGCCCCTAAACTTTGAGTACGATTTGTCGCTGACTTCTGGGTGCGCGCGCGTGTGCGTGTGTGATCTGTTTCGGGGATCCGAGACTTGCGCCCAATCGCAGTTTCTCTGAACGTGTGAGCCGTCTGCGTTCTCCGCGGCGCTTTCGTTCTAGCCGGTCGTATTTGTTGCTTTTGGTTGGCCCTCTTGTTCGGCGCCCCCTTAATTTTACACGCGGTTTTCCGCTAACCTCCAGGGGGGGGGGGGGGGGGGGCTGATCTGCTTCGGGGGGGTCGAAAAAATCTTGCCTGGTCGCTGTTTCTTTGAACGTGCCACTAGTTTGCGTTCTCCGCGGCGAGGACTTCTCAATTTGGGCCTTCGGCGGGGTTCTCTATGGGCCACGAAACGTTGAAGGGGCGTGGCAACGAGGGCGCGCGGGCGTTTCCCATTCGGGCGTTCCGTGGAGCTCCCCTTAGGTTACGAAACATGCGAGGTGGCGCGCCCAAGTTCGCGGAGGTGGCCGCGAGCCAATAGGGCCCGCGGAGCATCGGCTCGAGAACTGCGCCCCCTTCGACCACCCTTTCCCGCAGCTCCCCGCGGCGATGGCCGCGGCCCCTCTCCTCTTCCGCCTCTCGGCGCAGGCCTGGGGCGATGAGCGCGGCGCCCCTGGACACTGGGATTGGGGCGAATGGCCGCCGTGCCCCCCCCCCCCCAGGTCTCGGAGTTGCATATCGCCCCCGCGAGCGCGCGTTAACCTCTCCGCCGTCCTCGCTGGAGCGGCGGGGCGGCAGCAGGGCCAACGCCCGCCCCAGGTGGCGGGGGCGCGGGGGCGGGGGGGGCGTTGCGGCGCGACCCGGCCCCCAGGGCTGGACTGGCCCCAGGACGTGTTGCAGTGCCAGCTGCGCGCGGCGGAGGGCACCGCCTTCGCGCGCGTGGCCTGCATGCACGTCGCGAAGCTGGCGCCTGCAGGACTCCGGGCCTTTCAGGCAGGGTCGGAGCGAGCGAGCGGGGTCGGGGGGGGCCTCGCCGCGCCGTCGACGCGTCGGCGGGGGGGCGCGATCCGGGGCCAGTTTCTCTGCGCCCCGACGTCGTAGACGCGTCGCCGACGCATCCGCGATGCTGCGCGCTCCTCTGGCCCATTCATTCTATATTCCGACATCCGTTCGGGGGGCTTCCGAGGACGCGACCGGCGCTGCTCGTTCAGCCAGTCGCCAGCGCTCGCTTGCGGGCGCCTGGTCGACATGGCGGACGACGCGGCCCCGCCCGCCTGCAAGCTCGGCGTGGACGATATTATGTGTATATAGTAGTGTGCGCATGCACATCGTATGTTTGTTTACAGACACATTCATAATATTTACAAACCATTTACACGTTGCATGCTTTTGTACACCCACAGTCAAATGGTACCCGATCCCGCACCTTACGGACCCCCCCCGGTCTCCTCCCGCGGGGGGCACCCCTGGCAGTGGTGCCGCCGCTCTGCCTTTTCTCGGGCGCTGCTGGAAGTGCGGCGAGGGCGCTGGTGAAGGAACAGCCCCAGGAGGCGCCAGACCCTGGAGGATTCCTTGGCCAACGCGGGCGGCGGTGATATCCGTGGCCGATCCACGATTGGAGTTCCACGGGCGTCCAGACCCTGGATTACGCATCCACGGGCTCCTTATTCCATTGCCCACACCGTACCCCTGGCCCAGGGTGGCCCCAGGATTCTCGGGGCGGCCCAGGCGGCCTCCAGGGCACCCCTCACGAGTCCCGGAGAGCTCCAGGGGCTCCAAGATGGAGCGAAGAGCTGAGGGCGCCTTGCGCCAGGGGCACTTCTAGCAACACTCGATGTTTGCTCCCCGTGCAGGGAGCTGCTCGCCTCGCAGAAGGCGGCGGACACGGGCGGCGAGGCCCTTGAGGCTCTCGCGGCACTGCAAAGGCACAGCGTGAGTTTTGCTGCGCGGACTGCGCGGGACCCTCCTTGGCGGCTCCTCCTCAGGCCCCCTCGAGCAAGGGCAAAATCACGACGGGGTGTTTTTTCTTGATTTTCGGCATCCGGGGGCCTTCGTCGGGCCTCGGGACCTTCAAGAAACGACTCAGGATGAGAAGCCGGTCCCGGGGAATGGGAACGAAAAACATCATGGCGAGTGGTTTTCCCCAATTTTCGGCCTCCGGGGGCCCTTACTGGGCCTCTGGACCCTCACAAAGCGACTCAGGATGAGAAACCGGTACCGGGGAATGGGTGGAGATCTCTGGGGGTCGACGCTGTGAACAGGTCATGACGTCGAGGTCTGGGTCGGGGGAGCTTTCTTGCGCGGATGGCGCTGGCCCCTCTGGCGGCTCCTCTGGGCGCCGCCCCTGGCGCGCTCTACGCGCCAGGGAGGGCAAGCAGCGGGAGAGGCAGAGCAAGGAGGGGGAGGAGGGGTGGAGGGGGCAGGCAGAGCAGGGAGGCAGAGGGAGGAGGAGGGGTGGGGGAGGCAGAGCAGGGAGGGTGGAGGAGGGGTGTAGAGGGAGGCAGAGCAGGGAGAGGGAGGAGGGGGGGTGGAGGGGCCGGGCGGCGGCGGTGGACGGTGGCGTTGCCGCGTGGTCGTGGGGGGGACGCCGGAGCCGTCGAGTAGCCGAGAAGCCAGACAAGGCACGGCAGCCTCTGGAGCGGATGTCCCCGCGGGAGGCCTGAGACCCGACACTCAAGTGAGCCCTCCTCCTCCTCCTCCTCGTCCTCCTCCTCCTCCTCCTCCTCCTCCTCCTCCTCCTCCTCCTCCTCCTTCTCCGCCTCCGCCTCTCTCCTCCCCTCCTCTTCCTCCCCCTCCTCCTACCTCCTCCTCCTCTCCTCCTCCTCCTCCGCCTCCTCCTCCTCCTCCTCCTCCTCCTCCTCCTCCTCCTCCGCCTCCTCCGCCTCCTCCTCCTCCTCCTCCTCCTCCTCCTCCTCCTCCTCCTCCTCCTCCTCCTCCTCCTGGAGCCCTGGACTGGATGAACAGATACTATGGGCAATGCAGACTGTGGGAGGCCACGCGCCACATGGCACAAAGACGCCATGAGTCGAACCCCACCGAACCCTGCTCTCTGAGAGGTCGAGCGATCGCCCGGCATTCGCCAAGAAAGCGCCCGAGGCGTATCAAAAATCATGGGCACATGCCCGAAGGGACAGTGGAGCGCGGCACCGCATTCAGCCTGCCCGCCACGCCTCCCAGAGCCGGGCGGCGAGCGGAGGATGGGGCCTGGGGACCCTGTGCTGGGGGGGGAACCCAGCAAGGGGGGAGCCCAGGTCGCCAACCTCCGATCGCCCCCCAAGGTGGCTGCCGATCCTGGGGCCAGCTACGCAGGGGATGTTAGTTCACCCGAGGGACACTGGTCCTGCCCCCCCACTCCAGGTACCCCTCTCGGGGCAGGACGGGGTGGGCGAAGAGAGCGAGCAGAGGACAAGGACGCAGGGGCCAAACAGGGGGACAGGACAGAGGCGTGTACCACGATCACAGTCCTCCAGTCCTGAATCGCCTGCAGAGTCCACGGGGCCCCGCGCCGGGGCCTCCGAGCGTTTCTGCTCGTGCCGTTCTTTGTTTGTCTTGCCCTTTGTTTCGCGCGAGGCGGCGGCCGAGGCCTGCGTGAAGGAGCTGCACCGCCGCAAGCTGGAGGACCTCGCCGGGCTGCGGAGCGCCCTGCAGGCGGAGGGCGGCGGCGGCCTGGCCGAGCTGCTCGCGGAGACCGCGCTGGAGACTTGGCATCGCTCGGGCGTGTGAATTTTCCCCTCGCCGAGGACCATCGAGGAGCATCCTTGATCGTTGGGCGAAAAAGCCACGCGCGACACCGAAAAAGCACAGGGAATGGACGTCCGAGCGATGGCCAGGAGAAGCTGGGGGCCACCACGGCGGCGCCCGCGGCGGGGCTGCGCGCCGCGCTGCAGCGGATCGGGGAGGGCCAGGATCGGTCGGGGCTCAAGAGACGGGGGTCAATGGAAACGGGGGTCAGCCAGGGCACCGGATCCTGCAGGATCCTGCGAAGACCCCCTCTGGCCGACCCCGGTTAGCGAGCCGCTCGTGGCCGCGAGGCGGCCGCGCATATTGGCTGACCCGGGTTTGCGAAGACCTGCGTTGCAGTTTTTATCCTGCATTGCAGTTTTTTTTGTTTCCCGCTGACCTGGGTCGGGTCAGAAGATCCCCGGATCGGTTGCGCGCGATCGGCGGTTCAAAGATGGGGTCCTGAGGGGTGGGGTCCTGAGGTCCGAGGAGGAACAGTTATCCGTACCGCTACCCCTCGCCAGTTTTCGTCCCTGTTCGGCCTCCTCGGCGGCCCTCGTCGCCACCGCTAGATTCGCCTCGAAGTCCTGGTCAGAAGGCACCCCGGGAGAGGAAGGGATCCAAGGGTGGATTTGCTTTGTGTGAGGCACGTCGTCCTCAGGACCTTATCCCTCAGGGCCCCATCTTTGAGCCACTGACGCAAGGGTGGCCCTTTGCCGGAGTGGCGCTTGGTGCGGGCTCACACGACAAGGCCCTTCGCCGATCAACCATTCGGGCATCTTCATGGGCGGCGGGGGTAGGGTTCGGAGTTCCCCGGACACGTGGCGAAATCCGAGCCCTGCACCCCGCCTCCCATCGATCCAGGAGAATCGAGGATTGGTGGGGGTAGGGTCCGGAGGTCGCCGCCACCTACGCGGGTTGCGCACCGACAGCGCCTCCAGGTAGGGCCCCCCGAGCAGTCCAGGCTGGCCCCAGCAGGCCCCCCGAGTAGCCCAGGGCGGACTCCACGCCGCGGCGCCGCCTCCGGTGGCGCCACCGGGGCGCTCCGCGCCCCCGAGGCTGCGGTGCCGAGTCCGCCCTGGACCCTGGACTGCTCGGGGGCCCCAGTGGAGGGCAGCTGGGACTGCCCGGGGCGGCTGTCGGTGCGCGACCTGACGCCTCACCATCGGCGTCGCCCTATAGCATACCAACATACATCCAACGACGCACCGGGTCCGGGGGCCGGGGGCCGGGACCACGGCCACAGATGTGCGGCCTGGCGCGCCGGGCCCGCCTCTGGGAGGCTTGAAAAAACCGCCCCGGGGAGCCCTCAGACAGCAATCCCGGCGGCCCCAGGCGGCCTCGAGACAATTCCAAGACGCCGTCCAGGGGTGTCCGGCGACGCACGATGCGTTTGAAACTGCCCCGCAGGCCCCAAGACGCCCCAAGAGGCCTTTAAGATGCCGCCCAAGAGCGCCCCGAGAGGGCAAAATCTTTAACTTGTTTTGGCATGTTTTGCATCCTCGCTGTTTCCTGTTTCCGGCGCTGAAGCACCGCCCAAGAGGCCCCCAAAGCCGCTCCAAGACGGCCCAAGAGGCCCCAAGAGGGCCCCAAGACGGCCCAAGAGAGCCCCGAGACGGCCCCAGAGCCGCCCAAGACGGCGCAAGAGGGTCCCAAGAAGCCCCCAAGAGGCCCCCAAGAGGCCCCCAAGAGGCCCCAAGAGGCCCCCAAGAAGCCCAAAAGAGGCTCCAAGAGGCCCCAGGACGGCACCCAAGAGGCTTCAAACCTCTTTCTAAGAGGCCCCCGAAGACATGCCAAGAAGGTCACATGATGACTTCAAGAAGCAGCCCAGGATGCTCCGAGGAGGCCCCAAGAAGCTAGCTAGAACTTGAGCGCGCGCGAAGCGCGCGCGATGGTTCTAGTACTATATATGCGCCGCCCCCCCCTCCCCGTGGCGACGCGCGCACCGAGCAATCGTACAGTACATGCGTCGTGGCGGGCGCTTTCTGGCCACTCCGCTCGGGAAACGATCGCCACAATATTGGTATATTTGCATGTTCGGGTCGGACGCGCGCCTCCAAGAGGAACATATAGTGGAGACCCATGCCAAGAAACACCCTGTTTGCCTCCAGGGTGCCCTGGGTTTCTTGGGTTTCGATGGTTCTGCCATGGAAAGCGTGACGTTCCCACACCAAGCATCGATGGACGGCCTCAGGCCTAAGGGTTGGGTCTCTTGTGGAAGGCTTCTTGTGGATAGGCCCCCCCCCCCTGTATCGCACTGGTATGTTTCCTGTACGCCCCAGCGCCAGGCTCACACGCAGGGCCCCCCCCCCCCCACGGCACAGGCCCGCGCGCTCGGGCCTGGCCGGCCCGCGGCCCCCGGGAGCCGCGCACCAGAGGCCATCGTGGGTGCCCATCGGCCTCGCGTGCTGCCAGAGGGGTGTCCCTGGCCTGGGGTGGAGGATTCCCGGGGGAGGCCCAGGGTGGCCTCCAGGAGGAGGAGGAGGAGGAGGAGGAGGAGGAGGAGTAGGAGGAGGAGGAGGAGGAGGGAGGAGGGGGGAGTGAGGCGGAACAGGAGTAGGAAGGAGGAGGAGGCAGAAAGGAGGAGGAGGAGGGAGGAGGGAGGAGGGAGGAGGGAGGATGGAGGAGGGAGGAGGGAGGAAGGGAGGGACAGAGGGAGGGAGGAGGGAGGATGGAGGCAGGGAGGGAGGGAGGAGGGGGGAGGGAGGAGGGAGGAGGGAGGAGGAAGGGAGGAAGGGAGGAAGGGCGGAAGGGAGGAAGGGAGGAAGGGAGGAAGGGAGGAGGAGGAGGGACAGAGGGACAGAGGGACAGAGGGACGGAGGGAGGAGGGACAGAGGGACAGAGGGACAGAGGGACAGAGGGACAGAGGGACAGGAAGACGGAGGGAGGAGGGAGGAGGGAGGAGGGAGGAGGGAGGAGGAAGGAGAAGGAGGAAGGAGGAGGAGGAAGGAGGAAGGAGGACGAGGGACGAGGACGAGACGAGGACGGGACGAGGACGAGGACGAAGGGAGAGGGAGGAGGGAGGAGGGAGAGGGAGGAGGAGGGAGGGGGAGGGAGGGAGGGAGGGAGGGAGGGAGGGGAGGAGGAGGGAGGAGGAGAGGGAGGAGGGGAGGAGGGAGGAGGGATGAGGGGGGGAGGGGGGAGGGGGGAAGGGGGAGGGAGGAGGGAGGGGGAGTAGGTAGAGGGAGGAGGGAGGGGAGGAGGGAGGAGGAGGAGGGAGGCGGGAGGAGGGGGAGGGAGGGAGGGAGGGAGGGAGGGAAGGGAGGGAGGAAGAGGAGGAGAGGAGAAGGAGGAGGGGAGGAGGAGGAGGAGGGAGGGAGGGACGGAGGGAGGAGGGAGGATGGAGGAGGGAGGAGGGAGGAGGGAGGGAGGAGGAGGAGGGAGGAGGGAGGAGGGAGGAGGGGAGGAGGGAGGAGGGAGGAGGAGGGAGGGAGGGAGGGAGGGAGGAGGGAGGAGGGAGGGAGGGAGGGAGGGAGGGGAGGGAGGGAGGGAGGGGAGGGAGGGGAGGAGGGAGGGAGGGGAGGGAGGTGGAGGGGGGGATGGAGGGGAGGGAGGGAGGGAGGGAGGGAGGGAGGGAGGGGAGGAGGGGAGGGAGGGGAGGGAGGGGAGGTGAGGGGAGGGAGGGGAGGGAGGGAGGGAGGGGAGGGAGGGGAGGGAGGGAGGGAGGGGAGGATGGGAGGGATGGGGGAAAGGAGGACGGAGGACGAGGACGGAGGACGGAGGAACTGCCCTGCAAGTACGGGAGGACGGGGACGAGGACGAGGACGGAGGACGAGGAGGGGAGGAGGGAGGAGGGAGGGGGGAGGGGGGAGGAGGGAGGAGGGAGGGAGGGAGGGAGGAGGGGGGGAGGGAGAGGGAGGAGGGAGGAGGGAGGGAGGGAGGAGGAGGAGGGCTAGGGAACTAGGGACCTAGGGATGAGGAGGAGGAGGAGGAGGAGGAGGTGGCCCCCCCCTCCTGGCCCATCGCGAGGCCCAGACGGCCCCAGGGGCTCCAGGGTGGCGCTCGGAGAGTTGCCGTATAGGTGCCTGCGGCGTGGGAGCGACGGCGACGCTGGCGAGGAGGCGTTCAAGGCTGAAGCCTGTGCCGCGGAAACACCGATGGACTCCTCCTCCTCCTCCTCCTCCTCCTCCTCCTCTCCTCCTCCTCCTCCTCCTCCTCTTCCTCCTCTCTCCTCCTCCTCCTCCTCCTCCTCCTCCTCCTCCTCCTCCTCCTCCTCCTCCTCACCCCTCCTTCCCCTCCTCCTCCTCCTACCTCCTCTTCCTCCTCCTCCTCCTCCTCCTCCTCCTCCCCCCCCTCCTCCTCCTCCTCATCCTCCTCCTCCAGTAAGTTGTTACATACCTCACACGTTCCTCTCTCGGGGCCCTCTAGAGCTCACCGGGGGCCCGGCGAATTCACTGCCCGTACTGTAATGTACTGGCTCAAGACGCGTCATAGTTGTGTACTGTGCGAGTGATCGATACAGAAAACACAGCCTTACTGCATTGCGTCGCCATCGCTGTCGGGAGGAGAGGAGTCATATCACGTGCCACTGCACGTGGTAGCGGAGCAGAGCTGCTCCCCCTCCCGCCGCCAGGCGACAGTACCACTGCGGGCTCATCAACTTCTCCGACACCAGCGCTGCGGGCGACAGCCTCGACAGTACAGAGTGCGAGAAAGAGGGCCTCGACAGTCAATTCAGATATTCCTTAGTTTTTTGGTATCAGCTATGTTCGGCGGCAAGGGCGGACAGCCCCCAGTGCAGCAGGGCGGACCCCAACGGTTCACTCCTGGCCTACACCCTCAGCCCGACATGGCGAACACGAAGACGCCTCCATCGTGGTCGCCAGAGTTCGAGGCCAGCTACCCGTTGTGGGTCTACGCTCAGGACTTGATATTGTGGAGCGCGGCCACCGAGGTACCCATCGCACGACAGGGACCAGCCGCAGTTCTACAGCTCGGAGGCATGGCAAGGGTCCTGGGCAGAGAGATGAACGTGGATGAGTTATCAAATGGACGGCAAGAGTGGGACTACACACAGCAGCAGATGTCGCACGTGACAGGCATCACCATCCTGTTGCGGAATCTTCTACGACGTTTCGGCGAGCTGGACGAAGAACAAAGCATCAGACTTCTTTCTCAGTTGTTGGGTTTCAGCAGAATGCAAGGCGAATCGATAGATCAAGCACTCTCGAGGTTCGACATCACGGTATACAGGGCGACGAACCTCTTGCAGAACTTCGCGCTGGGACCACAAGGACTAGCGTGGATATTACTGCGAGCACTCAAAGTAGCACCGGTCATGTGGTCTCAGCTACTCATTCCTTTGAATGGACAGCTTCCGACGACGGAAGATCAGATGAACATTCTCAAGCGGCACATCAGACAGCAGGCACATATCTTGGAACACCATCCGCATGGCGTACACTCGAACACGACACATCTTGGACAGCAGGCACATTTGTCATATTTCGGAAACGTGGAGCCGCCTCAGGCTACAACGGCCTGGGGCGACAGCTTGGCCGCAGCAGCGGCCATGCCACAGCAAGCAGCATACCCCACGAGCGACCCGTACGTCAACACGCCAGATGAGCAATACATGATGGAGGATTTCTTTGGCGACAGCGACACGGAGTCGGACGAGGACCTGCAGGACCCAGAGTGTACGGACGAGGCAATAGAGGCATATGCATCGAATCTCCTTCCCCCTGGAGTGCCGGCCAACAGGACGAATATCACGACGGTGTTGTACGAGACATACCTCAACATAAAGAAGCGTTATAGAGCCTACACGAAGAAGACGACGAAGGTCAGACGGTCCAATCGGCGATACTACGGTCGGCGCTCAGGACAAGGCAAAGGAGGATTTCGGCGACAATTCGGCAAGCCAAGCCACTTCCCCGTCGAAGAGCAGCACGACCCCACGTACTTCAAGGGTGGAAAGGGGAAGGGCAGCAGCTTCCGTGGACACGGCAAGAACAGAAAGGACCCAGTCACAGGCGAAGCGATGAAGTGCCACGAGTGCGGTAGCGACGAACACCTGCGGAGGAATTGCCCCAAGCTTCACCACCTGACGCATGCGGCAGGTTCGGCATCGGCATCGGCATCTCCCCCAGCAGGCGGACAGGATCAATCTATGGCACCCGGGCACATGTATATGATGCAGCAACATTTCTTTCATGCAGGACATCAACATCAGCGTCACGAACCCCACGAGGAGCCAGCGACGTACGCACCAGTCTTGGAATGGTCTCAGATCGTCGCAGACGGCACGGGCATCCCGACGGACATCAACACGGACCACGTCACACACCAGGAGCGACAGCTGCGGGAACTGATGACCAGGAGCTTCAATCCCCAACAGCCTCAGCAGGCAGTCGCGGCAGAACATCAACATACATCGATCTTGCATCAGCTTCGCATCTTGGATCAGACGGCGAACGACGGAGAACAGATATCAGCGAGATTCTTCCCCTGGTGGAACCTGGACGTGGAGCTGGACGAGACCAGCAGTTTCAACATGGCGAACCTGAACGACGAGCAGATCTTCCTCCTCAAGACGAAGTTGCCAGGCGAAGGACGTGAAGGACTTCTGGTGGACACTGGCGCACACGACAATCTGGTGGGCAACCTGTTCATCAAGCGCGTCCTGAACATCTTGAGCGAGCAAGGCATGATGGACAAGGTGAAGTGGCAAAAGCTTCCCAAGCCCATCAACGTGTCAGGTGTCGGCAAGGAGAGCCAACTCGTCGAATGGGCCATCACGATTCCTCTAAAGGTCATCGCGAACGATGTGAAGAGCGACACTACCTACACGGCCCCAGTCGTCGGCACCGAGGAGGATCCATCTACAATACCAGCGTTGTGGGGCATCAAGTCTATGCGACATCAGCGGGCAGTCATCGACCTGGTCAATAACGAGATACATTTATGTGGGCCAGGCCGAGTATACATTAACACACCTCATGGTACTTCTACGCTGAAGATCGAGAGCAGCATGAGTGGACACCCGCTGGTACCATGCACGGAGTTCGACAAGCACAAGAGGAAGGTCACCTTCAAGGCGGAGCCGCAGTACGCGACGGAGCACCAGAGCGACGTCGTGGCCAGGACCTCCCACTAGGGAGTCGGCCGCTCGGCGGTGCGTCCCGCCGAGGCTCCCCGGAGGGAGCAAGCCGTTGTCAAGACGCACGGCAACACCCCAACTCTATCTCTGCCAAGATCTCCTTCCCCCGTGCATGACAATTCCATACCCACAATTTGGATCATTGACGACGTTGACAGCCAACGAAGTTATGCATGTAGTCAGCGCTTCAAGGTCCAGCTCTACAATCATAGTTCACGGCACACCACGGCGAACAGCAGCAATCACATGCAGACGTTATTACATCATCATCGGCCAGTTCTGTTGTGGGTATGCGTTCCAGGACCTCCTACGACAGGACAGTTTACGAGATCGCATCGGCGACGACTCCAGCTTATCAGCCAGCTCAGCGAACAGCAGATATCACTACAACGATCGGTTCTTCTTGAGGCCAACGAGCGCGTGCAGGCAGTGTGGTGACAGCACCACTTCAGCGACTTCATCGGCAAGCAGCACGAGAGCGGCAGCCTGAAGACTACCATGGTGCGGCTTCAGGATGGCAGTCACACCTCGACCATCCGCCTGGAGGCCAACTTTGATTTGGGCGCTCCGGGCATGATCGACCACGCGGAGGCACCGGCGGCAGTCGCGAGCCTCCTTGATTTGTTGTTCAAGGCAGAGCACAAGCCATCACGAGAGCAAGTTGTTACACCACCGACGGCTACATCGGTATCAGCGCACTCCCCTCCGAGGACGACGGACAACAGCAGTGGCGACCAGGTTATGTTCGACGTTCTCGATGAAGATTCCACGGCATACCCTACCGATGCAGCTGTTCGGGCTAAAGAGAGAGAGCGGCATCGGAAAGCACAGGCCATCGACCCAACGCACGCCACGCCGAGCAAGAAGAAGAAGTTCAAGGTGGAGCAGCACTTCGACGACTGCGGGCTCGACGACTCTAGTCTCAAGCAGGCGCTGTGGACACTCAACCAGACCAGCACCGAGATCTACGACGACAAGGACCAACTCATGGACAACGAACAGGACCAAGACACCTGCTCGGTGTTTGTCTCTTCGCTACGAGGCTTGAGTGGGTCAGACACCAACGACAAGACCTACAGCCACGTGCCAAAGCAGTTCAAGTACGACGCGTTCACCAGCTTTATGGCAGATTGGTCTTATCCCGCTCAGTATAGCTCACAGAGCAGGGACCACTACATCGACGTTGTGGAGATATGTGGAGGTAACGCTAGAACATCACAGATACTGATCCACCGCTTCCACGAGACCAAGATCGGGCTTAACTTCGACATCATTGTAGGCATCGATCTCTTGGACCCCACGCAAGAAGCGGCACTTTGGCAGTATCTCAAATCGAACAAGGTTCTGATCACGATTCTCAGCGTTCCCTGCACAGGACTAGCAGGCTGGCAGACATTGAACAAGTTCACCAACCCGGAGACCTGGAAGCAGAGTAGGCGGACGTCCGTACCCCTCGCTAAGCTTGCAGGCAGAGTTGCAGAATTCCAACTACGACATCATCGGCATTTTCTATCGGAACATCCGCAGACGACGGAGATGTACAACATGCCAGAATGGGATTACATACGGAATCATCTCCAGCTCCATTGGTGCATTGTTCATCAGTGTATGACCAACCTTCGCGAGAACAGACCTCCCTTCTTACACTTGTTAAAGCCCACCGAATTTTGGGCATCGCACTACTTGTTGATCAGACCGCTGTTGAATCTGAAATGTGATCGCAGTCACCAACATGCCACTATATCAGGCGGTCGGTCTCACGACGCACGGCTATGGACATGGGAAATGGCCAAGTCGGTTGCTACAGGCATTCACGACCTACTTCGGCACCTGCGATTACACCAAACATTCTTCCCGGCGGGCGACGACGAAAGCGAGAGCGAAGAAGAACAAGCACCAGGAGCAGCAGCGGCAGCACGGAGGCGACCCAAGCGACGTCAGAGACCGGCAGCGGCCGCGGCAGCGGCAGCATCGGCACCACTACCGCCGGCACCAGATCCTCTTGCGGCAGTTGCACCTCCCGTTGAGGCAGCATCGGCAGCAGCTGCAGCAGCGGTGCCAACCGCGGCCGGCCAGGCACCCAGGAAGCGCAGGGTCGAGTCTAAGATGCCTGATTGGGTCAAGTGTTCGGCTTGCAGATCAAATCGAGACATGTTTGACCCCAGGCACACCAGAGATCCGAGTTCATGTTTGCGATCAATGATTGCACCAAGAGAATGGGCTTGTCCATCTTGCAAGACGTTCAAGCCCCGAGATCACGCAGGACACACATACGGCCTCGACTGCAAGTGGGGAGAAGCGGCTATCAGGATATCAGGCAAGCGGAAGGCAACGAAGCTACCTCGAGATCCACGACCTCGTCTTCACGACGAACCCACAGCAGCCAATCGAGTGGATCCCGACCCAGGACTGGAGCTTCCGCTTCCTCCTCCTCCTGAAGCACCAGCACCGGCGGCTCCCGCCGCAGCAGCAGCAGTAGCACCAGCACCGGCGGCTTCCGCCGCAGCAGCAGCAGCACCAGCAGAAGGCGAAGGACGTTTGCGGCTGGCAGATGCGCCACGACAGCGTGGTGGAACCGGCAGCGGTGAAGTACAACGATTTCGCTCAGGAGGCGCGCAGACCGAGGGCGACGGATTACCTACCATGACGGATATGCGAACATGGTCACCGTATGACCTTGGACGAGCATTGCATCAACTCAAGTCGGCAGACATGAATCTTGTACGGCGAACTCTACGAGTACTTCATATCAGATGGTGGCACGCGCAGGCACACGACATGATCAGGATGTTGCAGAACGCCGGCGTGCCTATGGAAGTCTGCAAGATGGCGCACGACATCGTGGACACCTGCAGGGCGTGTCGGATGTGGCAGCGGCCAGCACCGAATAACATGCCGACCATGCGTTTGTCACTCACGTTCAACGAGTACGTGCAGGTGGACCTATTGTTTGTGGGTGAACTCATTGTGGTACATCTCATCGACGAATGCTTGAGGTTTTCTGGAGGCGGAGTTGCAGCCAGTAAAGAACCCCCAGAAATTCTACGCGTGATTCACCTGACCTGGGTCACGATACACGGACCACCTCAGCATCTCATTGCAGATCAAGAAGGAGCCCTGGAATCAGACGAAGCTCGTATTTATTGTGATCAACATCAGATTCAGAGACGAGCCAAGCCAGTGGGCTCCAAGGCAGCCATCGTTGAACGACACCATGAGATAGTTCGCAACACCATACGGCGCATCAAGTCCCAAGCAGAAGAATTGGACACGGCCATACCGGACGAGTACATCGTGGCGGAGGCCTTCATGGCACACAATCAGTTGTTGAATGTTGGTGGTTTCTCTCCCTATCAGGCGCTCTACGGACGACAACCAGCACAGCTTCAAGATCTTGATCAAGTGAGCGCAGCGCCCCTGCAGGACGACGTGGGAGGACTACCAGGCTTAACCCGACATGTTCATCGCATACGCGAACTAGCGAACACGGCAATGGTGGAAGCCACGGCTACAGCAAGAATACAGCGAGCTCTGGAGTCTCAGACGCGGACCTCAGGACAGGGTCTCGAATTGCAGGTTGGAGACTTCGTGGACATCTTGAGGAAGACCGACAAGAAGGGCATCACCAACTGGATTGGACCATGCAAGATCACGGACATGTCAGATATGCGAGACGGACTTGTACATTGTAAATGGCAAGGACGCCCCATGTCGGTACGAATCGCGGACATCAGGAAGGCGCTGTACTTGGAGTTTCTCCATTTTGCGAGCAGTCAGGACAGCAGTATCACGAGCATCAGCACAGTCATGACGCAGGTGACCAAGTTTGCAGACTCCTGCTCAAGGGCGGTGTTACGATTTGGTTGGTGTGTATCCTCGACAGGACGATGGGAACTTACACGCAGTACCACACAGTATCCCAAGTTGTGGAGCGCCATCATCCATCTAGCACTTCTGGCAGGAGTACGACATTGTCTTGGAGCACGGATTGGCTGTGGCATGCATCATCTTCAAAATCTACCAGAAATGCCAAGCTCATTCCTGGTATGGTGGTATAAGCATTCATCAGTACGCTATTATACGATTCAGTATGGCAGTACCTACGTGGACTGGAAGCGAATTCTTTGTGAAGATGAGCGGCCAGAGGCGTATTGGTGGAAAATATCATTTGTGCAGTTCTTCTTCAAGCAGCGTCATCAAGACCAAGACGACGGTGATCAAGTAGAAGTGCCAGGAGACATGGACATGAACCCAGCACCTCCGGCACCTCCACAACCAGACCGAGTACCTGAAGCACCAGCGGCGGTACCCCCTCCTGAAGAAGAAGAAAGAGCACCACGAAGAAGAAGAAAACATGACGGAGTTCACGACGACGACCGAGCACACAAGTATCGCACGCTGCCCCACGAGGAAGAAGAAAAGGACCGAACGGCACCGGCAGACCGACGTCAACGACCAGATCCAGCAGTTGACCGAGACGAAGGACCTATCCTGGACCCCCCACATTACGAGCCACCGACTGCAGGCGCAGCAGCACCCTCCTCAGGCGCAGCGGCATCAACAGCAGCACCCACGACACCCGCAGTACGACCAGCCTCACCTACAACGACCGAGGAAGTCAGCGACGAGGACTTCGAGCCCGGGACGGGCGTCGACGATCGCGGACCACCACCAGATTCAGGTGACGGAGGCTGGCGCATTGCGGAAGGCGACGACCTCTACTGCGACCACCGCGGCAATGAGGTCAGGCTACCCACGACAATGGACGAGTTCAAGGCGTATATCACGAGCAGGAATCCAGAGCCCCTGCTCAAGCGAAGGAGCACGAACGACGATTTCGACCAGTCCGAGTTCGAGTACTTCGAGGCACCGGCTCAGCAGACGAAGCACGATTTGGTGGACCAGTCAAGGGACATGACGTTTCACTTCGAGCGCGAGGAACCCGTGGCGGAGTTTGCTTTACCTTGGTATATCGCTAATCTGGAGTTTCGAACGAAGCAGCGTATTCCCGAGGGGTATGACTTGGTTTATTTCTTATCTAAGACTAAGCTCAGCAGCCAAGTTATCAAACGAGATCTTCACAACCTCAGCGCAGATGATCAGCGACAACATCATGAAAAGGTTATCAGTTCTATGAAAAGAGAGTTGCAGCAGTGGCTGGAGCTCGAGAGCGTTGGCATCATGCTCAAGCGGGACGCCACCAACCTCGTCGACGGCACATGGGTTTTCAAGTGGAAGATCATGATTCTAGATGGTAAAGAGCAACGCGAGGTAAAAGGCAGATGGACGCTGAGGGGGTTCAAGGACAGGCAGTCCCAGGTGGAGACTTTCAGCGGAACCGCAGCCCGGTACAGCACACGAGTGGTGAACAGTCACGCATGCCAGAATGAGTATGATTTGTGGGCACTGGATATCTCAGGAGCTTTCCTCAAAGGCCTTACGTTCGACGAGATCAATCAAATGACGACGGACGGCTTGATCAGGCAAGTTCAGCTTATTGTAGACGCCAAGACAGCTTCCGTTTTGAGGACGTTCAAAGGCTGGGAGGGCTTCAATCATGAGAAACACTGCCTACGTATTTTGCGACCGATATGGGGACTGAAGGACGCACCGAGATTGTTTACCTTGAAGTTGGCACAGGTTATGAATGCGACGCACCATATTCCAAGCAAGACAGACAACAAGCTGTACATGAGGCACGACAACCAGAATAAGTGTATTTCATTGGTTTGCGGTCATCTGGATGACTTAAAAGGATCATCGACGACTTCAGCACGAGAAGAACTATGGAAGGCATTGGAGACTGCATTTGGCAAGTGCAGCAAACATATGAACAAGTTCACGTATCTGGGAGTGGAGCACGAGCAGACGACGGACAAGAAGTCGATCTACATACATCAGAAGGGCTACATCGCGGAGTTGCACATGATACCCTTGCCAGCTCATTCAGCTCACCGACCAGATGACGATCTCAGCATAGAATTGCACACCTTGGCAAGGAGTCTCTTGGGAGCGTTGTCATGGGTAACTCAATCAAGACCAGAAATACAAGTTTTCGTTGGACTATGTCAGCGTAACGCCAAACAGCTCAAGCACAAGCACGCACAGGTCTTGAATCTAAGTTTGAAATGGATCCAGACACATCATGCAGGAGTTCGATATTCACAGATGATGGGAGACACAGCTTTATATTGTATTGTGGATTCAGCTTTCAGAGCAGATGAACCAGATTGCCTAGCACTTCGAGCTGACATCATGGGATTGTGTCAGCACACCAGCACGAAGATCGGAGGCAAACTACACATGTTCGTAACGACTAGCAAGAAGCAATCCAGAGTGAATAGGAATACATTCAGCGCAGAAGCAGGAGCAGTGGGAGACGCAGCATCTATGTGCATTGTATTGGCAGGTCTCCTACATGAAGTTGACAGAGGCT